GACAGGAAAAGGATGGAGTTGGAGAACCGGTAAGGAGCGAGGAGGAGGAGGAGCCGAAGGCGGAGAGGCAGGAGGAAGGGGGATGATTGTGATGACGATTATGATGCTGATGACGATGACGATGACGATGACGACGACGATGATGATGATGGTGATGATGACGATGATAATGATGATGATTATGATGATGCTGATGATGATGATTATGCTGCTAATGATGCTGATAATGATGATGATGGCGATGATAATGATGATGATGCTGCTGATGATGATGATCATCATGCTGCTGATGATGCTTCTGATGAGGATGATTATTCGGATCATGATGATGGCGATTCTGATGATGATGATGATGATGATAATGCTGCTGGTGCTGATGATGACGATGATGATGATGATCCTGACAATGATGATGATGATGATGATGATGACGACGATGATGATGATGATGATGATGATGATGATGATGATGATGATGATGATGATGATGATGATGATGATGGTGGTGACGATTCTGATGCCGATGACGATGATGATGATGATGATGATGATGATGATGATGATGATAACGATGACGATGATGATGATGATGATGATGATGATGATGATGATGATGATGATGCTGATGATGATATGATGATGATGATTATGATGATGATGATGATGATGATGAATGATGATGATGATGATGAATGATGATTGATGATGGATGGTGTGATGTTGATGTTCATATGCCGATGCTGGTTCTGATGCTGACGACGACACGACGACGACGACGACGACGACGATGATGAATGATGATGAATGATGAATGATGATGATGATGATGATATGATGATGATGATGATGATGATGATTGATGATGATGATGATGATGATGATGATGAGGATGATGATGATGGATGATGATGATGATGATGATGAATGATGATGATGATGATCTGATGATGATGATGATGCTGATGCTGATTGCTGATGCTGATGCGGATGATGATGCTGATGCTGATGCTGATGCTGATGCTGACGCTGATGCTGCTGCTGATGATGATGATGATGATGATGACGATGATGATGATCAGGAGGAGGAGGAGGAGGAGGAGGAGGAGGAGGGAGGAGAGAAAGAGAGGAGAAGGAGAGGAGCAGGAGGAGGAGGCAGGAGGAGGAGGAGGAGGAGAGAGGAGGGAGAGGAGGGAGGAGGGAGGGAGGAGGAGAGGAGGAGAGAGGAGGAGGAGGAGGAGGAGGAGGAGGAACAGAAAGAGGGAGACGCAGGTGGAGAAAGAGGAGAAGCAACACGGACGTGCGAGGGAGGTCGGCGGAGTACGAGCCAGGATGGCGGCGTCCCTCGCAGCAGCGGCCCGCTGGGACGGCGGCGGACCTTCGGCGGCCTCTCGGCGCGGCCTTGGCGGCGGCGGCGCTCCGCCTCGGCGCGGAGATTTTGGCGGCGCACCTCCCCTCTGCCCATCCATCTGCTCCCTGCTTTTGCTGCCTGCCTCGTCGCCCTCCTCCGATCCTCCCCGTCCTCTTCTCGGGACGGCCTTCTCCCCTCCTCCTCCCCCTCCGCCTCCTCCGCCTCATCTTCCTCCCTCCTTCTCCTCCTGCTCCACCTCCTCGTCCCTCTTGTTCTTGGCCCACCTCCTCCTCCTCCTCCTCCTCCTCGTCCTCCTCCTCCTCCTCCTCTTCCATCCTCTTCCTCTCCTTCTTTCCTTTCTTTTCAATCTTTTATGCTCGGGAAACCTTCGCCCCATGTATCCTCCTCTCCCCTCGCCTCCCCCAGGCTTCTCCTCGTCCTCGTCCACTTCTTCTTGTCATGATTTGCTCAGGAGCGTTTGTGGAACGCTCTCCAGAGCGTTCTGGTGCGTTCTGCAGCAGCCGCGGCACAAGAGATTTCGATGGATCACTGCTCGATTTGTTCTTGTCCCTCCTTCGTCTTATCCCCCTCGCCCCTCCTCCTCCTCCCTCCCTCCCTCGGCGGTGGGAGAGAGGGGAGGCTCCTGCTCCTCCTTCCTCGGAGGAGAGGGGGAGGGCGAGGAAGGAGGGAGGTGGGATGGATGGGGAGGCTCCTCCTCCTCCCTCGCCTGCGCAAGTTTGGCGCGCCCCGGGTCCTGGGCCTCGCTCCCAGGGCCGGGGGCCATCATATTTTGTCGGGCGCGAACTCGTGGGGATCGGTTCATGGGGGGCCCCCTCTCCGGGGCCCCGAGAGGCCCCGTGGGGGGCCCCGAAGGGCTCCTTTTCTGCAGCCCTCACTGCCTCCACCCACTTCTCGCCCCCCCCTGGATTCGGGCTCAAACTTGGCCCCCCCGATACGTTCGCGGTCAAACTGGAGGAGGAGGAGGAGGAGGGGGAGGATGATGATGAGGAGGAGGACGAGGAGCAAGAAGACGAAGGAGATGAGCAAGAGGAGTACTATTAATGATTTGCATACGAATGCTAGTATTCACATTATGGCTATTAGTGCTATTATTGTTTTTTTTTGTATTTATAGGTGTAGTGGTAATGATTTATGACTAAAGCAATGATAGTAACAATCTTATCTAATTTACTAATAATAAGGGCAATGACCTTAGTAAGAACAATGCAACTTCTCATACTAAACATACGAACGACAATGCTAACACTATAATGCAATATGACGATTCATACAACTACCAATGCTACTACCACTATGAAGAATACTACTCTGCATACCAATAAGCAGAAGGATAATGCGACCACGAAAATGACTAATGCTAGTTCGACTGACACGATCATTTCTCAATTCTAGCAGTAACACTACTAATCCGAGTAATACTGGCTGTACTGATATACTACGTATACTCGTACTGATAGTAAGAAAAACCATATCAATCATAGTTTGTGTTGTTATCATAATATGAATGAGGAAACTCATGATAATAATGTCAGTCGTACCAAAACTAATACTAGAATCAATAAACCTAACAATAGCATTCACAGTGATAATCGTACGGTGAATAGTACGAATAATTGTGTTACCAGAACTATTAATGACAATAAGACTCTTACCAGCCATATTCATAATAGAAAAGGGCAATGCGAATAATAATCATCATAGTAATACAGATGTTCAGAAAAGAAGAGGAGGAGAAGGAGGAGAAGAACCGCGCGCCTCTCGCGCACGCATCGAGGGGCGCACCCGGGCGCTGAGGGGACGGCGACCGGGGTGGGCGGAGAATCGGCGCAGGGGTGGTGGTCTTTGTGGAGGGAGGGGGAGGGAACAGTATGAGGAGGAGGGGGAGGAGGAGGAGGAGGAGGAGGAGGAGGAGGAGGAGGAGGAGGAAGTGGAGGAGGATAAGGAGGAGTCGACGAGACGTAAGAGTGACCTTTCGCCGGAGCGACCTCTAATGCGGGCCCAACGGGTCCTCCGATCGCCGAACGCGGTGCGATGGTGGCGTCCTGCGCGCCTTTGTTTGGTCCCCCCGCGGCCCCGAAAAAGTCGCGCACCGAAGGTCACTCTTACCCAGGGTCACTTGCGTGCAGTCGAGAGAGCTCCAGGGGCAGTGGCCGTGAAAAAGGACGCTTCGCTGATTTGGGTCTCCTGTCCTCCTGCTCCTCCTCCTCCTCCTCTTCCTTCCTCCTCCTCCTCCTCCTTCTCTTCTCTTCCTCCTCCTCCTCTTTTTCCTCCCCACTGTCCTCCTCCTCCTCCTCCTCTTCCGCCTTCTCTGCCTGGTCCTCTCTTCCTCTCCCCCTGTCTTCCTCCTCACCTCCCCCCTCCTCCTTCCTTCCACCACTCCTATTTTCCTCTGCTCAGAGGCGAGAGAAGCACATGAGCGCTTACACCCCGCCAGGAGACCGCAGACTTCGCCACAGGTTGCGCCGTGCCGGTGTGTCGCGTTGGACACCGCGCCCGACCACCGAACCGCCGTTTCCCACCTTGTCTGTGTACCTTCCGGACGCAGGTTGCGTAACAGGATGCGCCCGACACCCCGCGCCTCCCCCGAATCGCGATTTCCCCACTCTGTCGACCTGCCATCGGTTGCGACACAGGTTCCGCTGGCGAAGAGGTGAGTAATCAGATGCTCTCTTGTGCCGCGTCTGCGAGAGGTGATTTTTTTGTTATGGTAGAGAGTGCAGGTTCTCAGCCTCATATTCGCTTTTGGTAGGGTGTATCAAACGTTTGGTTGTGTCGGTCGGCTGGCGCCAGCTTTCATGCCTAAACGTGCTGGATACTTTCGTGCTCGGACTTGGCGGTCTACTGGCTTGCCACTCCATGGTCAAACTTGACGCGACAGTCTGCGTAGATCACCAATGCCCGCTGACATCTGAGCTCCCCGCCGTGGGAAAATGTGCTTAGGTGGAGTTTTGAGGAGTGAGGGGTGATCCGCATCTGAGTGGGTACAGGTGTGAGGCTCTGACGGGGTAGGGAGAGGAGGAGAAGGAGGAGGAGGAGGAGGAGGAGGAGGAGGAGGAGGAGGGCCGTGGGACCTTTCGCCTCAGACAAGATTTTAGCATTATCGCCACGCGGCCCCAGACGTTCGACTGGAGTCGCGCGAGCCGCGGCACACGCTTCGGTTTTCTTCGAGGCACGGGATGTCCGTACCCACTCCGTGGCTCCTGGGTCTTTTTCTTCTGGGAATCCTGCGCAGTTTCCTGCCGAAGATCCAGACGAGTGTGACGGAGGGCGTGTTTTGGTGGGAGGCCAGCGGGGAACTGGTGGACGATGGGACGGACAGGCCTGAGGCTAGCGGTGCTGTAACTGCCCAGGGTGGCCCCGTAACTACGGTAGCGAAGACCCAGTTCCTTAATGATTCGCTTCGGACCTCCACGTCACCAGCCGCGGTGGAGCTGTACCAGCGGCTATCGTCCAATATGGTTTCTTCTGCTCCGAAGACCCTGTTTGGGCACCAAGACGATTTTGCGTACGGCTACGCGTGGCCGTATAAGCGGGGGGAGCCTCTTCCAAAATATGGAGATGCTTGGAAGAGTGACGTGTTTTTCGCCACGAATCAGAAAGAGTATCCAGCAGTGTTTGGGTTCGATATCCA